TAATTACTGGAGTTATTACCCTTGGTTTCATTAATGCGATGCATGCGTTCCATGATGTTGTATTGCACTCATTGATCTACCAGTTATGTTGAATGATTTCTCTTTTAATATCAATTACTCACAAATACTTCATATATTTCAATCATACAAACAACTGCTCATTCAATGTGTGACGGGCGTATTATATACCGCTCGCGGTAACCTTGTTTTTTAAGCTAAGCTTGCAGAGGCTCAATTTATATATAGAAAATCTCAGAAGTACATTTGTAGTTCATAAAAATCATATGAAATGAGAACTCATGTAAGGTCCTCTCTGTATCGAGACCAAATGATAATGTTCATTTGTTTATTGAAAATGTCAAAAAAGTTTTAATATTGTAACCTAATACACATTCTCCAATATGTCATAAAACCAAAGCAATATGACTCCAACACAGGGACTAAATTGTACATAGACTGAACTGGTTTTATAATAAGAGCATAATTGCTACTGACAGATAAGAGCATTGTTTACTGAATCCTGTAATAGCTTGTGTTGTGTTGTGAGTAAAATGAGATCTAAAGTTTGTATAATTCATTGGAATATCCATAGAATAATCATTAAAAATACTATGGAATAATATAACCATAATCATTTGTCCGATCTGTGGTGATCTCTGCCCCATCAAATTTTTTTAAAAGCAGATGTTTTGGACAACATAATTGGATGTCAGACACTAAGAGAATTGTTTTATTCCATCCTGATAAAATTTAAAAAGGTGACATTTCACAACAATATAAACAACACATTACTTTTATTTACTGGTACATTCAATCACATGATTAATTTTAAGGAAATTAAGGATAATCTGACTTGCACGCATAACCTTCTAAATCTTACAACAGAAGCTTTAAGTCTAATGTATAATGTCATATTTGTGTTAAACTAAGTTTTGCTTATCTTTTTCAGATTGTGATATCTGCAGGTCTCTGCTGAGAGCTGTTTTAACCAAGTTGTGACCACACTCAAGGGAATAGTGCAATCCTTTTTAATTTGTAGATAAATATATATTTAATTATTTTCTGTCTGTAAACATTAATGTCTCTCAACACACCGCATGTGATGTTTGTCTAAGAAATGAACATGGGTCAGAAAGTGTCAGGTGGGATAAAGACAGTTACGTCTAGAGAGACTACCTACAAGGCACTATACAAAGGCGATATGGTGTACAATCCAGACTTTCAGAAGCCCAGTCGACTCGACATGCTCCTGGACATGCCACCCACATCTAAGGATGTCCAAGTTAACCATTCATGGAATCCGGATGATCGTTCACTCAATATATTTGTGAAGGATGACGACAAATTGACTTTCCACAGACACCCTGTTGCACAGAGTACAGACTGTGTGCGAGGTAAGGTGGGGTACACACGCGGCCTGCATGTGTGGGAGATTGTATGGAGCACACGCCAGCGGGGAACACATGCTGTGGTCGGAGTAGGAACGAGTGAGGCACCCTTACATTGTGTAGGTTACCAGTCCCTGGTAGGTAGTAATTGTGAATCCTGGGGCTGGGACCTCGGCCGTAACAAACTTTACCATGATGTGAAAAATAACCCAGGTGTCACTTACCCTAGTCTATTAAACTCAGATGAGAACTTTGTCGTGCCCGACAGCTTCCTTGTGGTGCTGGATATGGACGAGGGTACATTAAGTTTTGTTGTAGATGGACAATACCTAGGTGTTGCATTTAGAGGCCTCAAAGGAAAGAAACTTTATCCCATAGTGAGTGCTGTGTGGGGACATTGTGAGATCACCATGCGGTATATAGGAGGGCTGGATCGTAAGTAGTTACTTCAGCCATGCCTGGCCGTATACATGTATATCTATATATCAAAAATGTCAAACACATCTGTTAAGATATATATCCAAATACAGATGGTCTGTTTACATTTAAATTGAAACGACTTAAAGGATCATGTCAGTTGTTTATATAAAAGCTGGTACATGAGCAAAAGTAAGTTATGTGAATGTGACAATTTTACACATGGTATGTATCATAGCATTGCTGAGTAAAAGATGTTAAACTCTGTGTATAAAATTATGTCAAAAGGAGATTGTTGAAATGTATATCTTTTCTGGAGGAGCTTTAGTGTGTATGTGTCTGTGATAAGCATTTGTCTGTATAATTCTTTAATCTCTTTATAACATCTAATTTTTTTACTTGCAGCCGAACCATTACCATTGATGGACATAAGTAGACGCATCATACGCCATAACCTTGGTAAAAGCAGACTCCATGAAATTAACAAGCTTCCTTTACCAAATTCTATAAAGAATTACCTGCTCTATCAGTCATAGCAGGAAGTGTGATAAGAGTTGTCCTCTCTTAACTTTGTTGTGTCACCGAACAGCCGTACAGAAAAGCATGACAGGATCACCGCCTCAACTTTGTCATATAGAAAGGCTGCCCTCAAATCTTGTCATTTGACAGGAACACTCTGGCTTCTCTCTTGCTGACTGTTAGATACAGTCCCCAGAATATCCTTTACTGGCAATGGCTGTTACCGTCATATGTCCTGTATATGGATCTCAAGTAGCATGTATCGCTCTATACTCATGGGGCCAAAATGTCTAGGAAAGACTTACAAAAACTTTAAGGGGTAGAAGTAAATTTTTGTTTATACAATAAATATAAAATTACACATCAATATTTGAACAATGGAAAAAACGCAATTTTACAGAATCTCTAAATATTAGGATTGCACAGGGAAATTTATCTATCTTGGGACATTTTGGCTGTGGTATTACAATCCCACAGAAACAGTTATTTTAATTGCAATGTATGAGTGTACTTACACATGAATATTAAATTTGCCTATCTCACTAAATTTAAACATAAGGTCAGTATAGCTTTGCAATAATAAAGACTTAATGCTGTCTTGATTTAAAGCTTGAACAGCTATTGATTGTGAAAATTTTAATACAAGCATTGATTGCCATTAAATTTACCTTTTACATATAAAAGATTTGCTATTTATAAGATTTGCTATTTAGATAAATCAGCAATGTTTTTAGGAAATGAAATTTCCTTTTAAATCATAGAAAGACAAAAAATCAGAAATTAAATATTGATGAAATTAAGTTATATAACTTAATGCAAAGGTTGCTTGAATGTTTGAACTGGGCAGTGTTATGGAGGGGAGACAAGGTGACTGGGATGACTTTAGAATAAATGTATTATTTGTGATTCATGATATGAAAAGATTGAGTTTAAAACCAGTTTTTCCATGCGATTGTTTGCATGTACATTTGTATGTAGTACATATCTATAGGGTGTGTGATTTTTTTAAAGACAATTTAAATCGTGAAATGTCTATAATTCATCATTAATTTGTATTTATAATATTTTCTTCAAAGTTCATTGAAGACAAGTTGAAAATAAGTAATATATGGGTCAAGCAATTTTCAAGCTTGTAATTGTTTGTTAAATAAGGTGACCATTACTGTTGTATATTGGGTTGATATATACACTACATGCAGGTCACAGGAAAGTGAATGAAAACACGGTAAAACCTCAGAACTCAGTGGAACTCAAATTGTTCATAAGTTCATACACCACTCTTAACCCGGATAATTTACTGTCCTGTGTAGTAAATAATTGGAACATATTTAAACATAATTTTAAACACGTAGTTATCAGACCAAATAACATCATATTATTCCTAGCTCCATGTTAGATTTTTTAAATTCTATTTAACAACAACATTTTACTAGCTGCGGTCAATGTTACACATAAAATGTCGGTATGTTAAAGGTTAGCTAAAAATTCTCTGTCAATCCTCGGGGTGATTCCAGCTTGTTTATTAGCCATATTTCTTCTCAGTTAGACATATCTCGAATATTTTGACAGATTAGCAGATATTGTGCCATAATCTAATGTCTATATCTGAAACTTCAGTAACAGAACAAAGCAAGGTTGGGCCAGCTAGCTACCAGGTCAGATTGCTGTCCTGAGCATTTCCTGTGGAGTCGGGTCATCTGCCGTCCATAGTCATCTAATGTGTATGAATGTTTTGAGCTATCAATCTCCATACATTAGCCCAGTGTCTACCACTTGTATTTCCTAATCATTCTAATTTGCAATATGTTTTTTCTTAAAGCTTGTTCCTATTTACCGAACTTCAAATTCTGGTTAATACAACCTTGGTTCTCAGTATTCAATGCAAGCCTTAAGGCTATTCAAAATTGTGTTCATTCAGGATTTCTTTTTTGATTTATTTATTTCACATACGTAAAATAATATTTTATTCTTCTATAATATAAGAATGTAATACTGTTCCTATCATCCATTTGATAAACGAAAACAAACAGAATCTTTAATTTAGAGGTATTTTGCTAAGTGGTATAAACTAGGAAAGCATTCTATCATTTCAACAAGCTCATCCCATCAGCTAGTGACCTGTTTTTATGCTAAGTTTGGACTATTACATCCTCGACACTGGTAACAAGTGGCCTTATTGTGGATGGTATTGTTCAAGGTCACATGATGTAAACGATTAATTTCTGTGCTTGTTGTTTGTGTCATTGTGATGGTGATGTTTGAATTGAATACCTGGTAATCATGGTCACGTTAATGTTTGAGTGAAGATGTTAGGCATGGTGATTGTTTGGATGTGTCAATGTGACTATGAAGCTAGCACGGTGTAAACATCATCTAAACGCTTTTTGCTCTGCTGTTAATCTTCATAAATGTTTGCATTTTTCTCACTTATTGGAGCGAATCTCAAAAACTGTCGAAAAATTTCATATATAATATAATGTAGGTACAAGTTTTGTTTGTGTTAATAAATAGATCTTTTTAAATAGATTTAAAAATCTGTTAAACATGTGACTATCTGGCACACCTTCACACAGTTGACTGATCACTAATGGCTGGAGATTTACTGGGATTTTGATGATAAGATATTTAGTGTACTTTAATATTATTGGCCATTTAAATTCATATTTAAGTTACATAAGCTTTTTTAACCTGCCTTGATTATTTTGAATTTCATGTTGAAGTGATGTTATCCTAAGATTATCTGTTTTGTCAGAAGTTAGCCTGAGCTTGATGTAAAATTCTACATGCAATACTAAAAGTTCCACATTTTGCACATTTTTTAGGCATTTCTCAGTGATGTAACTTTCAAGCATTAATCAATCTTGCAAATTAATCATTCCTGTAACCTACATATTATAAATACTGAACATTGTTTCAGAAAATCGGAAGAATTAAAGAAATAAAACATTATAAAGCAGTCTTGCTGATTTTGAAAACAAAACTGCAGTTCAGAAGCTAACCATTGCAATGATATTTTGTAAATTTCTTCCATTTGTGGCAAATGAAACCAGGTTCTTGGTTTGGTGAGTAATTAACCACAGAAGTGTATCGGTCAATTTATGGTGATAAAACATACCATAGACTCTTTCAAACTTGTAAACTTTTCTGTGAATTTTCAATAAATGTTTTTCTTTTGGTGTATTACTTAATGTTGCCCATTACTGATTTACATGACCCATGCGCTGCACAATTACTGGGTTGATTCGGTAAATGACTAATTTTCTGACCCGTTAGCTGTACAATTGTACTTGGTCGATTCTCTAACATGACTGAATTCTCTGACCCGTCGGCTGTACAGTTGTACTGGGTCGATTCTATAAGTCTGTTTTTTATGACCTATACTACATTTGTAATGGTTTAATTCTGTAAAATAAGTGTGAATTTCTTATCACAAATTAGCTATACACTTGAACATGGTTGATCACGGATGTATCATACTTCTTTGTCTCATACTTTGCCAATATGTGGAAGTTTGATTGTTGACATTATACTTTTAAAGAATGATGGGAAATCTTTAGCAAAAAGCTTTATTTAATATTAATAAATGTAAATTACAATCACAGGATATTTATTTTTGTGATAATTCCTTCGAAGGAATGGTTGAAAGTTTAACATCGCTTGCATATTTATTAAGTTGAACATAGATAAGGGGTAGTAGTCATAGAATTCGCGAAAATAAGTATATGTGGAATAAAGACATCTGTAGTACCTTGCAGCTGTTTGTGAAACTAAAAGTGTATTATACATAAAAAATACGTCATGTAAAAAAAATACTTTAAAAATACTTTGAGGAGTAGACATTAACAGGCCAGATTGGGTGAACTAGGGTAGGGTGTAGTGATAGAAATGTTAAGGTTGTGTTGTAAACTGCTGATCATGATCGCATTACATGTGCTCTGTCACTTTTTCATTATGTCATCTTAAGAAATTATGTAAAGATTCTTGCAAATCAGTGCCTATTAATTTTAAAGCTCTTCCTTAAACAATTTTCATCTCCACCTTTGCTTATTGAAGCTTGTACGCCTACAATGTATGTATAATGTGAAACATTGTTATCTAGTATTTTTCAACCTACATCAATATCTAAAAAGAAATTGTCATGCTAGTCTGAAGCATATCTTTGATAACCGATGCATGCTGTTTTCACCTTTCTTACTTCATAGAGATTTAGTTTTTACCTAAGTATAATAACATGTTACGCTCCCCGGCAAATTCAGTGTCGGGAAATCTTAATATGCCAAGAGGGGCAAAGACAAGTTTTGAGGGGACACTGGCGCCAATCACACTTAAGTTGATGCTCACTGATTTCAGTATGTGGCTTATTTTTGTAATATATATGTATGTCACCTTGCTATGTCTGATATTAAACAGTGTGTGAAGGACTTCACTATAATTGATACATTGACCTTGATTAAAGCCATTTGTTCTTTAGGGTAAAAACAAGCAAGTGCTGTTTTGACAAACAACAAAATTGTTTTTATTGAAATGTTAGGTCAAGAGGATTTTTAAAGTTTTCTTTTTACATATGATTTTAGATATTAATATATGTAGACATATTTTAATTTTGTAACGGTCAAGGACTTTGGCCGTCCTGTAATTATAATTAAGGTGTTTGACAACATGTGATATACATAACCATAATTTATTGAGTAAATGTTTTTTATGTCTTTCCTCATGTAAAAACCTTTGATCAGTACCGCTTCAGTGTCTGTTTTTGTATTGTGTTTTAGTGATTTTGTTTTACCCAACTAGTCATGTCCAATCAAACCTGAAGTGGTGTCAATAGTATGTAGTTTATTACAGAATATTATTTAACAAATAACAGATTACTTTTACATAGTGTGTGTAAATTTTAATCAAGTATGTGCCAGACTCACTGAGTTTTACTATATCAAAACAAATAGATAAGTGGGGCTATTTAGTGCCTAAACGGGAAGTCCTTTATTCACCTTGGCAGCCAAACCACAGCATAACTGAATATTCTGTGTTTAATTTCAAAACTTCAGAATTAGTGCTGCAGAGGAAATGTCACTGAATATCACTGGTTTTAGTTTTAACCTTTGCTTGTTGTTTAAAACGTAAGCTGGGGGATTTTCTAATAGCTTTATCAACACTGCAGAAAAAGGGAGTAACACATAACTCTTGATCTGATCAATCATGAAATAAATTGATTGAAGCTCAACTTTATATAAGAAAATTTGATGAGATAATAATCATATTATATATGTTTGATTCCTTCCTCCTTACAATATGTACACATCAGCAATATTTATGGCTGTTCACCTTAAACAAGATAGCCTCTCTAAATAAAACCTTGGTTACCACCCAGTGATCGCCCTCCCCATTAAGATACTTTATTTGTGTTGGGTTCCGATCTCATGTGTACACATGTGGGACTGTTGGTGGTCTGGGCATGTTGTATAATATCAGCCCCCACTCTCAGCTTTACCTGTGTTCAGTTGCTTGTACCTGTAGTATTATCATATGGAATGAGAAGATTTTCACTAGTGTACATAATCATTCAGGTTGTCAGCTTGCATTTAAATGGGAATTATATATAAATATATGTGTAATTGTGTGGAGAATTGTATGTGTGGTACGTGTGCAAGTGAGGTCACTACATCTTGTCACAGCTGGCTGTAAAGGACACAGCAAAGTGAAAAAAAATGATCATATCTATAAGTCATTAATGTCCTTGTGATAGCATTGTCATGAAGGTCATTCTTTGCAATATAAAAAATAACTTCCCTATATTATAGGCAAGTAAAGCATAACATTTATTCAATATTTCCATTTCAACATTTTACATTTAATTGATATTCATTGCATATATTTGTTGGCTATAAAACAAGGCATCCCGTTATGTAGCCATTTGTGGCCTGGGTACTTTCCCTTCTGAAACTTGCACGAAAAACTGTCTATAAATGTTAAAGTTGATGTTTAAGTAATAAAAGCTAAGATTACTTTCCTTTTACAAAAACAGTTAGTTTTAACACCTAAGACACTGTTATTTCTTTATTGCAAATTTTTACATGAACAAAATGGACATAAAATGGTTTTATGGGACCAGGCGGCCTAGATATTAGTCATGCGATCATTTTAAAAACACTACTGTTTTAGCTGATATCCCTCCAAAATTATCAGGACCAATAAGGATTTTTTTTTCTACTTCTAAGATATGTGTATTAATTTTCAAACTTAATGGAACACAATTGTTTTTAACTGTAAATTGCATTGTTTTAATCTCATGCTGAAATTTTTGTCTCATGCTTTTAATTGGGAGAAGAGGTGTGATAGATGAGAAAGTGTTTGTCTATATTTGCTATTGGTGTACAATTGTATATCTCCACACACATGTTTGGGTTATATCTGTTTTAATGTGTAGGTCGGGACAAGTACAGGTTCCTTGTTCAAATTTCATATCATGCTTGTTAATCAATAATAAATGTTATGAATGTGATGTTTCAGCATCAATGGGGAACAATCAGGCATCAAGTCTGAATGAAAAGCCCTGTCTTAAAACTCTGAAGAAACAAATCATGTTAAGTAAGATTTATGAGCTAGTAATTAAATTCTGTACACTTTTGACTGGGGTATGCATTTGAGCTGTTTTACAGAGCAGCATATTTTATCAATTTGAGCAGAGATATTATATTTGTTCGGTTTAAACAGAGATAGGTGTTTGCTCGGTTTGAACAGAGATAGGTATTTGTTCAGTTTGAACAGAAATATGTGTTTGTTCCGTTTGAACAGAGATATGTGTTTGTTCCGTTTGAACAGAGATATATATTTGTTCCGTTTGAACAGAGATATGTGTTTGTTACGCTTGAACAGAGATATGCGTTTGTTCTGTTTGAACAAGTTTTTCAAGTTTTCAAGTTTTATTTTTAAACTCACGCCACACCTATACGTGCGTAACAAGAGGTCACATAATACATAGTATACATTGATGGACATAGTACTCACATAATATGACACATGATACAATTCATACAATAACAACCCATTTCAATAATTCTTTTAGCTAAATTATTTTAGATATTAAGTAGCATCATTACTCTTTGTATAAATTTATTTACTTTTGTTAAGAGTACCGTGTTACATATTGGGAACATTCCTTTCATTTTGATATAAGTTGGGTTGACATAATGATAATTTGGTATATAAAGTTGTCTAAGAGCTACAACAGATACACTAGTACATTGGTATAAGTAGTGGTATTTGTCCCCAACACAGTTATTACATAGGGGACATAACCTTTCCTCGCGTGGGACTCTATTCCATCTTCCTGTTTCTATAGGAAATTTTATATTTGATGTTCTAAATTTACATATTACTTTTCGTTCATTACGATTTAGCTTTAAAAGATATGGTTCGATATTAAACTGAAATTTGAATAAGGAGTAAACTTACCCTCGCGAGGAGGTTTCAACATCATGAAACCAACTTTGAATGAATTGATCGCATAATCTCTGCTTAATGATATTTTTCAAGCATTGTCTATTAATTGTACATGATATTTGGAAAGTCCATAAATTATTAAATCCAGTATTGTTTAAGATATCTCGTATATACGTTAACCATTTAAAACTTAATAAAGAATTCTGGTGCAAATTGAAACAGAGGTATGTATTTGTTGAGGGTACCTGTACTTTTGTGTGTGTGTGGTGATGTGTGTTCAGACAGACAACACGGGGTGGGTGTGGTGCTAACATTGTACTACTGCTGGTCTCACTCAGGGTCCTCACCATGATCTGTCACGGATAACTATTTGTTTAATAACTTGCTGCACTTTTCACTTTACATATGTAATATAAAAAAATATAGTTAGCCATTTTTCCCTCTTAATTCACTTTATGAGTTTTATAATTCAATTTGATATTTTAAACTTAAAGTGATATTTTAGTCTTTGTCACTTTTATTAACAATCTTCCGAATTAAATGATGACCTTTCTGTCCTGTCTTACCTTATTAATGAATTTCCTAATTAATTGATGACCTTCCACCTTTCTGACCTCTCTTTCTAGAACTTGGTGATGATCTTCCATGATTTAGCTTCAAAAACTTACTCTAGTATTTATTTGTTCTGTTATTGTGATGACCTAAGTGACGGTTGATGATACCTAATTTGTTCTAATTAAATAATTATTTCTGACCTTGTTGATGACCTTGCCAACCTAACTGATGACCTTGCTGACCTAGATAATGATGATCTTGGTGATGACCTTGAGTTTGACCATCAGTTGTATATTGATTTATTCGTGTGAGAATGATGTATTGTGTGGTGATTCATACATGCCGTTTTTGTGCATGATTTAATGCCAGGAACATCTTCATGTATTTTTTTCATTGTAAAGCAGTGGTTGTAATAATTCTAGCCAAATAAATTTTAAAATGACCAGAATTAATGTGCCTCCTGCTTGTTTTTTCATTCGATTTAACAGAGGTAGAGTTTCTTGTTATGCCTTACAGAGAAATATGATGAAAAAATCACGATTTATATATTCAGTGATAATCTACAGCATGAATCTCTTTCCCTGTCATAGCTAGTCTATTTAGAGTGAATCATCCCCTGTCGTTTAGTAACTGTTCAAGGCAAGCACGTCTTGATATCTATGACAAAGATATACATATATAACAGTACTTTGAATTCAAATTCAAAAATGGTAAATTTCTTAATCCCACACAAAAATGCTGTATTCTAGGCTTACTGTTAAATACTTTCTAAGGAGGGAAACATTGAAGCTAGTAGCAGATACACAATAATTAGTTATGTATTTACAATAGAACTGCTGCACAAGGGGCACAGATTCCAGTAAGTTAAATAATTGGTATTTTTTTGACCAATTGTTATGTTGTGATATGCCTTTATATAAGAGTCACCTTGGAATAAAGAACACCCCTGTAGGGGAAATTTGTTCATATAAACGAAAGGATGCCAATTGTAAGTAGGGGGCACTTGTTCAGTGAGTGAGTATGAACATTAGGTACCACTAACTCTACAAGGAAGATGGCTGTTCTATTCATATAGCGTTTACGGTCTACTTGAACGGCACACTTTAACAAAGCCACATCAACACTTTTGTTTGTTTAAGTTTAGGGGGTTCAAGGTCCTCACAACAGCTAGGAACATAACAGTTTGATGCTAAAATAAACTGACATACGGTAAACCTCCGGTCAGTTCGAATCGGCGGATAGTTCGAACACGTATTTTTTTCAATTAAAACAATAATTTTCTAGCTAGTGATAGTTCAAACTCTGATTGACCCTATTTTGGATAGTCCGAACTTGTCAAATGAAAACGTAAAGTAAGATTTTTTTCGGCAATCTCCATTGAAAGCTAGCGGCGATCGGCCCCGGAAAAATGCTTTGATCAACAGACACGTCTATAAGGGTAATGGGTTGTATGTGTGAGCATTGCAGTACAGCTGTGACAGACAAACCATAAATATATGTCACAGATTTTAGCGTTGATTCATTTTTTTTACATTGTTTGAAAAATACATCGTGCACGAGACAGCCAATTGCAACTTAGGCCCCGACAATGTATAAATAACATGCGATCAGTACGAACTGATGTCACGCTGTATGGCTGTACGCTAAGAAATCGCCCGTGTGTTGTCAAATACAGTGTTAACTAAGCATTATGATTATTTTATTGCGACCAGACATCCCTTAATTATTGCCAATCAAGGTATTACCTGTAAACGTGTGCCCTCACACCAGGTANAACGGACCATTCATTACGAAATAATATATACAATAGTTTCTGATTCAAATAAAACCTAACCACGCAGAGACTCAATATTTAGGTCTCTGATACAAGCTAGGTAGTCTTAACTTTTGTGTCACAAATGAAACGTGTACTGTTTCGGGGCCTACACAAGGGCCTCTGCTTCGCAATAACGATCATAATTATCACGAAATGAAGAAAGTTTAATGATCAATTAACATTGAATTAAATAATATACTATCATTTTACCCATTTATAAATGTGCCATTGTTCTATGCCAGGCCGTCGTTGATACGTATCGACCTTACATTGGATATATAGAGGCATATTACTCCGGTGAAGAAAATATGTCGGGTATATGTTTGTGACTTCTTTTGCACTTTGCCGAAATTGTTGCCGATAGTTCGAACTCACGCTTATTTTCTGAAGCATAATTTTGTATAATCCGAACAGGTTCTTCAATATTTATTTAATTTTGTTCGAACTGACCGAAGGTTTACCGTATACCAATATATATTAAGAAGCACACATATGATAAGCCTATAAATAATTGGATATAGACTTGTATACAATCTATAATCTTCTATGTAGGGCATTATCCATACAGGTGTCTCCTTATTTAAGGTGCACATATACAGGTGGTAACCGATAATATGCTCAAACTTTGTACTTTTATTAATAAAAAGATCAGCATGCTGCATTTGGACGGAAACCTACATATTACAGGGATATGTACTAAATACTCTTGGCAGACACTCGATGAGAGTTCAAATTTCGCGGCTTTGTTAGATTTTATTATAGCCCTCATCCAATCAAAAACGTTGTACTATCTCGCGGCGATAGAACGTCAACAAACTACACGTGACGTTCGTCGCTACTTCCGTGTCAGATTGGGTCAACTATATTACAAGATGGAGCTAATTTTACAGACGGTCTGCGACGCGAATGGTTGGTAAGTAAACTCTCAATGGTTAGTTTAGCAGGTTTATTTGCTGTTGTTGTAGATAATACAGTGATAGGACGTATCACACCAGAAAACGGTACTTCTGCGCGCACCCGCGGGCCATATTCCACCCGAGTCCTGTCGAATCTCATGACAAATTTGACATGTAGCACAGGTGTAACTGTAAATTATCGGTAATATATCCCTTGCTGCATATTTCTTGGACATTCTCTGTATTTAAAAAAAAAAATACTGTATAAAGATTGACAGGTATGCACGCATGCTTCACGGAGAAGTGACGTATCAAATATAATATGTAAACATAATTGTATACCGACAGGTATCGACTATTAGGCCCTGTTCATACGCTGTTCATATGTTCTGTAGCTCGCATACACATTTTCATGAATCACCGTGACTCCTTTTAAAGGTGCTGTACTTGTAGTGTCTTGAATATAAGACATGTGTTCCTTATTGCATATAGCTAGCTGTACAAATGGTCACCAGCATAATATGAAATAATTATGATGATTGACATTCTATAGGTACAATCTGCTAATTGAGCAATATAGATATGTCTTGCATTCATTGCTATGTTTACTCCCACCTTTTAAGCTCACCTGGCCTAAAGGGCCAAGTGAGCTTATGGCAAAGTGCGACGTCCATCCGGCGTCAACTTTTTTACTTTAAACAACTTCTTCTCAATAACCAAGTTACCCAGGCTGATAATATTTGGCCAGTAGCATGCTGGGATGAATGGCTACCAAGTTTGTTCAAATGAATTACCTTGACCCACTTCCAAGGTCACGGGGTCAAATGTCTTAAAATCTTCGAATGACTTCTTCTCAGTAACTAAAAGGCCCAGAGAACTGATATTGGGCCTGTAGTATGCTGGGATGAAGGGCTACCAAATTTGTTTGAATGAATGACCTTGACCAACTTTCAAGGTCCCAGGGGTCAAATGTGTTAAAATCTTCAAACAACTTCTTCTCGATAACCAAAAGGCTGAGGGTACCGATATTGGGCCAGTAGCATGCTGGGATGAAGGGCTACAAAGTTTGTTCAAATTAATGACCTTGACCCACTTTCAAGGTCACAGGGGTCAAATATGTTAAAAAATTTAAACAACCTCTTCTCAATAACCAAAATGCCCCAGGTGATGATATTTGGCCAGGAGCATGCTGGGGTAAAGGGCTATCAATTTTGTTCAAATGAATTACCTTCCACTATATTCAAGGTGACAGGGGTCAAATATGTTAAAAACTTTAAACAACTTTTTGAATAACCAAAATGCCCAGGGTGATGATATTTAGTCAGTAGCATACTTGGATCAAGGGCTACCAAGTTTGTTTAATTGTATGACCTTGAATCACATTCAAGGTCACAAGGAGCAAATATGTTCAAAATATTTAAAGAACTTGTTCTGAATAACCAAAGGGCTCAGGATATCGAAATTTAGTCAGTAGCATGCTGGGATCAAGGACTACTATGTTTGTTAAAGTGAATGACTTTGACTTATATTCAAGGTCACACGGGTCAAATTTGTTTAAAATCTTTAAACAACCTCTTCTGAATAACCATTGGTCCCAGGATGTTGATACTTTGCAAGTTGCATCCTGAGATTAAAGGCTATAAAATTTGTTCAACATAATGACTTTGTTCAACTTTCAATCACAGGCGTGAAATGTTTAAAAAAAATTAACAGGCTCTTTTGAATGAACTTTAATGATAAATACTGATATTTTGCCTGTAGCTTTATTTTAGATCACTTTTTGGTTACAAGTGTGAGATTTATACCAGGTGAGCGATGCAGGCCCATTGGGCCTCTTGTTCCTTTTTAGATTTGTTCAAATTTCAAAGAAGTCAAATATGAATTATTCCAAAAATGAAAATCCCTAGGTTGAAGGTTCACTAGGGGTCACAGTGCTAACAGCCTGTACTGTAAAAACGAATCCTTATAACAAATCTTTGCAACAAATGAAGCATAGATATGATCCCAATACAACACAGAAAAGTAAATGAAGCTTTCGAAATGGTGAAAAGGCACCCATCAAACCACTTTTAATGTTGCTTAAAGTTTGAGCGAGTCCCATAATTATACTGCATCGTTGGAAAAGCTAGTTTGCCAGTAAGGCAGTATTTCCCCTCATATTCCATGGCTGCTACAGCTGTACTGAAGTTACACTGTCAGCGATCATCTATCTCTCTGAGTGCTGGCCTATGACATGGAAACCTGACCAAACTCTTAGCCCTCCACACATTAACCTTGAGAAGAATCCTGTGCATTTCCTGGCTGAGATATTATTTTAAAAATCTCCAAAAATGACAACGAAATTTGTAAACAAGAAGACATGACGACATTATTGTCACTCGAGGATGCTTGTAGTGTGGATGTCATTTCACTTGGCATGAACCAGGTTCCATCACAAAGGAGGACCATCACTGAACCCTTGAGAGCAAACAAAAAGTGGCAGACCTAAGACCACATGGCAGTGCGCTGTAAAGGTAGAGCAGGTACATGTACTGCTTTAAAGTGACCCAACATTATTTTGCAGATGATTTTTAAAAATATAGGAAGAGTTATATTTATAGGGAAAATCCTATTATGTTATTCTTTCATTTGCAATTCAACACATTTTTTCTTTCTTTTTAACAGAGAAACTAAACCATGGCAACTAACCAGGTGTGGCCACCAGGTGGTGAGCAGCAAGGAGGTTCAGAGGCTATTTATTCATCTGTTCCAAATGAGGTAACATAAACAGATGTTCTGAAATCAGATTTTAACTGCTTACAAAAGTACTTTTATCATGGAGAATAGATATACCAGATGCTATATTATGTTTGTTAATAAACATGAGGTATACATTAATATTTTATTTAAGGAGATTTGCTACCTTATTCAGACATGCACCTCCTTTGTAGAAGAGTTCAACATTAAAAAGTAGGACGTTTTGCCCTACTCTACTAAATAATGCCCATCTGACTGCAACAGTTGACAGCTCGTACAAACCTACTGACAATTATACATTACTGTACAATCAGGAGCAAATTACCATAAAAAGTAACTTATACAGCTGTTTTAAATTTGGAGATGAAAAAAATCTTCAATTTTTGACAAGCCTTTCATTTAACATCTGATTATCATGTGACAAAATACATGCTATGTAAACACCTGCATAAGTTAATGAACTTCACGTGTGTATAACTACTGTTAGATAAGACTAGTAGGTTACATTGTTACTGGTTAGTTATTGACACTTATAAAGGGACCTGTGCATGATTGCGCAAAGACTTATTTAATGTGTTCACTCAACCATACCGAACTACTCAATCGCAACTGTACATGTATACATTTTTTCGAAATGACCTAATTTAAAATCATAGATAAGATATATATTGTAAAAGTGTCCCACATTTGAATACAGAAAAAATACAGAAAATATGCATGCATACAATAATTTTAAATGTGCAGCATTAAGATGTACGAGACACTGTTATACATCAAAGTTCATACATAAAACTAAACATATCTCATTTCTTTAAAATACATACAGTGTGTCAATATACATGTAGCTGCTACATTAAATATTACTATTACCGGTATGCAACTGTGTCCACATCATTCCTATACTAAAATGTAGTTGCTCACATATCATAAGAAAACTTTCAAATGTCACTGTGGTCCTGATCAATCAAGAATCAAAGTTCAGACATGGAACTGCAGAGAAGTAATTATATAATTTTCAACAATATTTAACTTGAACGTTTGAACGTTTTCTTCTACATACAGATTTTATATGATAAAGTAGCAAGAACTTTTTGTTAAGCTTCACAGATCATTATACTGGTAAATCTATCCTCCATTGATATTCTCCCAACCTAGTTGAGGGAATATATATATATGTAGCGAAACAGGACTGGGTTGTTCACAAGTGACCAGGTAGCTCAACTGGTAGAGCATCCGTCTATATTTTGGTGGGTCCGGGATTGAAACTGCAATCTGGCTTCGTATTTTTCCACTAATACTACATTTGGTGCCTGTGACCAACCCTTGCTTCAAGTACTGGATGAATGGTTGGCATGGAAATACCCTAACCTGCATTGTAAATAGTGATGTCTTCGGGAAGACTTAGATCAGGAAGGAGGAATGTAGGGAATCTGGACTGGTTCGATGACCAGCGACCAGGTAGCTCAATTGGTAGGTGGTTTATTTGAAGAACATTAAGTATGGTTATAAAAAATTCTATGCCTGTATAGGACTTTGGTGGCCATGGTCAGCTGTCAAGGTTAGAGGGTAGGACTTTGGTGGCCATGGTCAGCTGTCGAGGTTAGAGGGTCAAAGTTCACACTTGACCACTTTTTCAGAATGGGGTGAGTGAAGTATATCTTTGAGCCCTGCCTAATTTATTTCTATTTAGTTTGTAAAATCTGACATAAAACAATTTCATAGAGAGAAATTGTTTGTTATTTATAACGAATTTGATATTACCATGCCTTTTTTACATGGGACAATTAGGTATTTTTATATGGAGATACTGTCTTGTTTGTCAGGTATTTTAGATGTTGCTATCAATTTTATATACACTTATGAAAAGTAAAACTTCAAATGTCTTCTGTTTCATAATATCATACCAATGATATCTACAAATTCATATTTAAATGAATACATAATTCTTTTATCATGCAATTGTTTGGGTGATTAATTTTAAAAGGTTCAGGGTGATAAACTGTCCTGGAAAAGTTACTATAATGATTACCCACTACATAGACATGTGTAAATGTCATGTTTTGGAAATGGTAAACACATGATAACAGGAAATATTCCTGTGTTGTCTGTACTTCCTTGTGTTTTGTGTGTGTTGAGTTGTGTAACATGTAACGCGTGATTTCTTTACATACCTATGTTTCCCAGTATTCAGAGCTAGTGGGATCTATACATGACAGTACCATTGATTTGGGCTGATTATTTTAGCCATGTGTTTTAAACACTCTTCATTTGAAACTGAACTGAATTTCTGAAGATTTGCTTTTAGACGGCTTAGAGATATTCTAAATCTATAGCTGATGGAGGTTTTGTCCTCCGTCCACAAATTTTGTTCCTGGCTGATAACTTTGGTATTTATTGACCGATGTACATCAAACATGGTCAAGATGGTCAGTTCACAAAAATACACATTGAGGTAAAAAGTCAAGGTCAAGGGTCAAGGGTCAAGGTCAAGTTTTGTATTTTTCACTGATGAACATTTTGTTATGACATGATGGAGCAAAGTTGATAAGAATTAACCAAGGAGTCAAGCAGCCCAAATGTCAAGGTCATTGGGTCAAAGGTCAAGGTTAAATTTTGTATCTTTTCACTGATGAACATTTTATGACATTATGAAGCAAAGTTATTCGGAAGAAAACAAAGAGACACACTAAGGTAAAAAGTTGAGGTCAAAGGTTAAGGTCATTAGATCCAAAGGTCAAGGTCAGATTTTGCATCTTTTCACTGATGAACATTTTATGACATTATGAAGCAAAGTTATTCGGAATAAAGCAAAGAGACACACTAAGGTAAAAAGTTGAGGTCAAAGGTTAAGGTCATTAGATCCAAAGGTCAAGGTCAAGTTTTGTATTTTTCACTGATGAACATTTTGTTATGACATGATGGCGCAAAGTTGATAAGAATTAAACAAGGAATCAACTGACCAAAGGTCAAGGGCATCGGGACAGGGGTCAAGGTCAAATTTTGTATCTTTTCACTGGTGAACATTTTGGTATGACCCTTTGAAGCAATGATGCTCAGAATTAAACAAGGAGTCAACTGACTGAAGGTCAAGGTCATTATATTCAAAGGTCAAGGTCATCGGGACAGGGGTCAAGGTCAAATTTTGTAGTTTTTCAATAATGAGCATTTTATGACATTATGAAGCAAAGTTATTCGGAATAAAACAAAGAGACACACTAAGGTAAAAAGTTGAGGTCAAAGGTTAAGGTCATTAGATTCAAAGGTCAAGGTCAAATTTTGCATCTTTTCACTGATGAACATTTTGTTATGATATGATGAAGCAAAGTTGATCAGAATAAAACAAGGAGTCAACTGAACAAAGGTCAAGGTCATCGGGTTAGGGGTCAAGGTCAAATTTTGTAGCTTTTCACAGGTGAACATTTCGCTATGACATTATGAAGCAAAGTAGTTAGAAATTAAACAAAGAGACAAACTGAGTTAAAAAGTCGAGGTCAAGGTCATTATATTCAAAGGTCAAGGTCAAATTTTGCACCTTTTTACTGATGAACATTTTGTTATGACATGATGAAGCAAAGTTGATCAGAATTAAACAAGGAGTCAACTGACTGAAGGTCAAGGTCATTGGGTCAAAGATCAAGGTTAAATTTTGTATCTTTTCACTGGTGAACATTTCGCTATGACACTTTGAAGCAATGTTGCTCAGAATTAAACAAGGAATTAATTGACCAAATGGTAAAGGTCACTTGGTCAATTGTGAAGGTTAAATTTTGTACCTTATCCCAAATGAACATTTTGTTATGACATTATGAAGCAATGTTGTTCAGAACTTAACACAGAGTCAACTGACATTAGGTCCAGGTTACGGGGTTCAAAGGGTCAAGGTCAAGTTTTGTATTGTTCACTGATGAACATTTTGTTATGATATCAAGAAGCAAAGTTGGTCGGAATTAAAGAATAAGTCAACTGACCAAATTTCAGGGTCACTGGGTTAATGGTCAAGGTCATTTGGGTCCAATGGTCAAAGACATAGTGGATCTCTGACTTTGACCCTGGCTCTTGATGGAGGAGGTATATAAGGTGAAATAAAACAAAACAAAGCTAACAAATGAGTATTGCACCGGTATTTACATTTCTGTTAGCCCAGCAAATATGGAGGTGGAAGGAAACAAGACTCACATCATAGTACATGTAAAATGAACTTGCGATTCTTTTTGAAGTCCAAATGTCAAACGTCAAGCTCAGCTTTATGGGCAGATTGCTTCTTGATGATTATGGGGGATATATTGCCACAAGACGGGGCCCTTACTGACCTGTCAGTGCTTTAGTCTCACTGGTAATTGCAGTGGGAATCCGGGTATCCCTATATTATCTCACTGGGACTTGTAGTGGGAATACTGATATCCTTATATTATCAGTATTCCCACTACAAGGACCAGGGAGATAATATAGGGACACCAGTATTCCCCCTACAATTACCAGTGATATAATATAGGGATACCAGTATTCCCACTACATGTACCAGTGAGATAATATAGGGTTACCAGTATTCCCACTACAAGTACCAGTGAAATAATATAGGGATACCAGTATGCCAACTGCAATTACCAGTGAGATATTATAGGGATACCAGTATTCCAACTGCAATTACCAGTGAGATATTATAGGGACACCAGTATTCCCCCTACAATTACCAGTGATATAATATAGGGATACCAGTATGCCAACTGCAATTACCAGTGAGATATTATAGGGACACCAGTATTCCCACTCCAATTCCCAGTGAGATAATATAGGGATGCCAGTATTCCCACTGCTATTACCAGTGAGATAATATAGAGATACCCGTATTCCCACTGCAATTACCATTGAGATAATATAGGGATGCCAGTATTCCCACTGCTATTACCAGTGAGATAATATAGGGTTACCAGTATTCCCACTACAAGTACCAGTGAGATAATATAGGGACACCAGTATTCCCACTCCAATTACCAGTGAGATAATATAAGGATATCAGTATT